GACGGTCAGGCGAGGGCACTCTTTCTCAGGAGAGTTATTTTTAACCATTTTAGCGAAAATGCAGCTCAGTGGATCATAAAGCGCGGGCTTCTCTGCACGGGGAGGCTGTTGCCCAGCGAGGCGGGTGTGATGTGAAAGAGCAGCACCGAGCCCACGGGTCCCGCCGGAGCCCCTCGGGGGCCATCCCAGCAGCACCCGACCGTGGCTTTGCTTAACCCACGTCCCAGCTGAACGGCACAAAGGCTCTGTGAATCCAGACGAAAAACAGGGAGCTGGTGTGGGCAAGCGTGGCCAGGAGAGGATTCACCTCTCGCTGCTCGGGGTCACTCGCCCAGCGCTGCGTGCTGGCTGGGTTCATGCCACCATGCCTCTCTCTGCTGAGGAAACCCCAACCGTATTTCCTCTGCAGCAGCACCATTTGTCGGGAACGTTTGCAGGCAGACACATGGAGCAGCACCCACACGAGCCGCGGGTGGGTCTCTGCTGAGAGCAGCCATCTTCTGCATTTTAGCTCTTCAGGAGGCAAAAAATGAGATTTCTCCCGGGAATACCAAAGAGAAATACCCATACTTCTTGCGAGCATGGCCAAGGCTGACCCCGCAGACCCAGGGAACCCTCCTGCACTGGGAGAGCCCTGGGGAAAGCCTGGCCCGCAGCGATGCTGCCAGCGATGGTGCTGTGCCGGGCAGCGGGGCTGCCCCGAGTGGATTTAACACCCGGGGGGCTTCTCTCCTCCCTGTCTCCCCCAGGACTCTGCTTTCATGGCCCGGGCATGGAAATGGCAAATCCCCCACTGGTGTAGGAGCAAGGATGTATGTATTTACAGTAGTGTACGACGAGATTAACCATTACCTTGTGCTACGCAGCAACTGTCACGTGCAGTACAAATGAAGGGACACAAAAGACCTTTTATTTAGTGACGGCGTTTGCCTGTCGTAATTTAGGATTGTCCTTTTTGTCTTGATGCAAACAGGAGCTTTCTGCCTTTGTAGCTCTTTGACTCCAGATGCCTGATTTCAGGGGCTAATCCTGTGTTCAGACCTTGCCTGTAGCCCCTCTTCCCTTGCATTCGCAAAGGCAGCGGCTGCTTAGAGCCTCTGTTAGTTCAGACATGAACGCAAGTCCCAGCCTCTTGCTGCCCTACTTGCTGTGGTTCTGCTTGCAAAAGAAGCTGCAACTGCAGCTCTCTGGCCAGCTTTCCCAGCCGAGCTCCGGGCATCTTCTGGTGTTCCTTTCCAAGAGACAAAAGCTTCAGAAAATCCTCTCCTTGTCACGAAGCAAAGCCAAGGGTTACACACGAGGAGGAAGCCGCTTGAAGGAAGGGCCAGGCACGCGGCTTCTAAAGGTTCAAACGTGGCAAAATATTTCAAAAGAAATGTGTGCATGTGATGCAGTTTTGTATTTAACAGGATGACTTTAAGCACCCAGGATGCCTTCCATTTTTGCTTTAAAAATCTACAAAGCTAGATGTAAAGAGGAGAAGAGGTGGAGTGGGTGGGAAATGGGGTGATCGAAGTGCCTGTAACGCCGTGGTGGTGGTGGTCATGGGAGCCCTGGTCCTGGAGCAAGACCCCGTGTGTTCAGGAATATGCAAAAGAGATTGTCTCCTCCTCAGAGAACTTATACCTAAGGCTTAAGATTAAAAGTTGAGCCTTTTTCATTTCTGCTTCACGCTTGTGTGAACTTCACTTTAGGCCTCAAATCTGCTTTTCTTGAAATTGGTTTTGAAATTGCTATTGACTTTAAATGCTGCAAGATCTCACCCATAAATCCTCCTTCTCCCATCTGTAAAACGAGGATGGCAGGATTTCTGTGCCATCTGTGGTGCTGTGAAGCTGAAAACAATCATCATTTATAAAGTGCTTTGAGCTCAAATGGGAGGTTCTGTGTAACGGCAAGGCTTTGCAGGACGAAATGTTCCTTAATGTGCCAGTTGCACCTGATATCTGAACCAGGGGCTGGGTTGAAAGTTTTAGAACAACAGTCTGGTGACGCAGAAGTAGTACTCCAGCTGCTAAACGTCTTGGTTTATTTGTGTTGTTCAAAAGCTCCCGTTCATCGTTACAAAACGAAGGGACAGAGAAGCCAGTGGCAGCATGTCCCCCTAAAAGCAGTATCCTACATGTGCATTCATCTTGAGCACCTCTGATCTTAACAGCCACGATTCTCAGAGGTGGTGGGACCGGCCACCAGCGGGCGGTTTAGCAGCACACGCATTGTCAGTAGGAAACTCGGAGCCAGAGTCACAAGTGTTAGGCCTTTCCGAGTGCAATAGGATGCATCTGATGGGAACAAAAGGATGTTCGTTTTCATCCAGCTTTGCAGGGCGTAGAAGGGAAGCTGCCTAACGGCCCCAAGAGCCGTATTTGTCTTATATTTGTATAAAGCTGAGGGCCAAACTGGTGCAACAAAAGCACAGCGTTTTAAGATAAAACAGTGTGGTTCCCAGCGAGTAATTCACAGCACACGCGGCAAACCGGTTGCAGTTTCCAGGGCTGAGTTAACACAGGGCTCAGGTCAAGCACTTCTGACGGAGCTGCCGGTTTCTCCTTTTGCAGACACAAGCCACCAGACCCGCTCCGTCTCCAGCCGCCCCTACTACAGTTTGCCCAACAGCAGCCATGAGAGGCGCTCGGTCCTCGCTATCACGGAGCCCCCGCGTTTCCACTCCCAAGCCAAAGGCAAGAACGTGCGTCTGGACGCACACTCCCGCAAGGCCACGCGGAGAAACAGTTTCTGCAACGGGGTCACCTTCACCAACCGGCCCATCCACCTCTATGAGAAAGTCAGGCTGAAGCTGGTGGCTGTGCACCATGGCTGGAGCGGGGCCCTACGCTTCGGCTTCACCATTCATGACCCATCGCAGATGAGCTCTGACGACATACCAAAGTATGCCTGTCCAGACCTAGTGACCCGACCCGGATACTGGGCCAAAGCTTTGCCAGAGAGGTTTGCTGTGAGAGACAATATCTTGGCCTTCTGGGTTGACCGTCATGGGAGAGTCTTCTACAGTATTAATGATGAGGAGCCAATATTGTTTCACTGTGGTATTAAAGTTTCTGGTCCTCTCTGGGCACTCATAGACGTCTATGGAATTACCCATGAAGTGCAAATACTAGGTAAGTGTGTGTTTTTGGCTTGCTTTTCTGGTTGCTCTTTCCACAGAGGCATAATCATGGAGAAAAGATGCATGATCTATCTAGTTGATCATTTCTATGGGACACTTAAGAACACTAATTTACGGTTAGTTTCGTACTTCAAATTAACCGTTTTTCTGTTGCCAGCAGTGGGGATCCAGAAAGCAATATATTTCAGAAATGTCAGTGATGGAAGGCCCTAGGGCTGTGCGTTATAGCTGCTGTGTGAAGGGCTAGATGGAAATCTTTACACATAACTTTACCCAGCCTTTTCTCAGCTAGATGTGCTGCTACGGCCTGGAAAAACACGGTGCTGCTTTACAGCAAGGTCCCTGGGACTGAGGAGACAAAAGTGACTAGCTCTTCTTCCCCAGCTACCAGTTACTGCCAGTCCACTGGAAAACTATGGCCCATTCCCCAAGTATTTCCTGCCACCCTTCCCCAGCCCCTCTCTGAACTCGTGGCCTAGGCTGGCAGCTTAACAAGCTCTGTTTGCAGACATAGCCCGGCTTAGCCTTCCCCCCGCCACGGGCATCACTGTACGTCTGCAAAGCACTGGCTGCAGCGCAGGATGCAGCCCTCCAGCTCAAGAGTGATGAGAAAATGTAGCACGAGCTCCTGTGTGCTTTGGGATCCTTGCCACCGCATGCCACATCTCCCCTCACACCTAAGCAGGTCGCTGCATTCAGGGGGTGCCTCGCTGCTTTACAAGCATCTTCTTTGGGGAGGGCTGCAAGAGGGGATGAATTTGTTCCCATTAGCAAACCGAGCCGATTGCCATGGAATGACTTTCCTTTCCTGACTTTGACAGCATTGAAATTTCAAGTGAATTCAGTGTTAGATGGAGTGTTTTGAACTGGTCTACACCACAGGGAATCCTTTTAAACTACGAGAGTGTTGCCCTTTGCTGGAGGCTCCTAGGAGCTGATTTAATTTTAGCAGCCAAACTAAGCTGCACTTGCTCGAGGGGACGGTGCCTCCATCCTCACACCGAGCAGACACCAGCGATAAGCTGTGAAATGGTTAGTCCAGTGGGCAGGCAGCTTCATCACATATTCGTCCGAATGGTACCAATTATTTTACGGGCGAGAAGGCTACACATAAATAACACTTTGCTCTGCCTACTCTGCCTCAAATGTCTAATTAAACCTTGCCAGTAGCTTATCCTGTACTTGCAATTGCGACGCACTCCAGCCTCTGGTGCTCATCACAGAGGTGAAGGAGCGTTTGCTGTTGGCCAGTGCGGCTGCTTCACCAGAACAGTCCTTCTTCCTCATTAGATTATAGTCAGAAAAATAAAACGCAGCTTATTTCTGCCCCCCATGCCCCAGTTCTGCCTGCAGCTTCCAAGTGTGCAGAGTGACAGACTTGGCCTGAGGGCACCCATACTCTGATTTTTTTTGATCAAAGTACCAAGCCTCACAAACTGCCCCAGGAATCAAGGCGATGCTCAGACAGCTGGGGCACCAGGGGATCCAGTCTCCTTGCTACAGATATGGTGGTGTCATAGCAGACGTGTTTGTCTCTCTGTCTCTTCCTCCCAAAATTTTGCAAGTCAAGAGAGCTGTGAAATATAGCCCAAATACTTAGGCACAAAATGCATCTTTCAGCATCATGAAGCTTGGATGTGCCTTACTTGTCTGTAGGAGCATTTCTTTCCAGATACCCTGTGCTTGCTAGAAGGCCATCAACCTCCACCGGTGGCCTCTCCTGCACGGGCTTCTGAGCAAAGGCAGCCTCTGCTTTGCAGCTGCTGGATGCATTTTGGGTGTTTTTTCTTCTTTGGTAACAGCCTGGTGATTTTCTCCTCTGAGGAGCAGGCAGTGTTGGTGCTGGGATGCTTCCCTCCTCTCCATCTTTGGGAAGACCAGGAGTTTGCTTCATTCACACACACTCTTAACTTCTGTGTGCTTTGACTTTGCTCAGCTGGTCAATGCCTTACTTTTGGAGTGAAGCGTCCAAGCCACCCCGGGCAGTGCTGGAGTTAGAAGGAAGGGCATTCCCGAACTGCCCCACACCTTAATCCGCCCCTGGCCTGGCATGGCCAAGGTGAAAATCTGGGAAATGAAATAAGACTCAGCATCCTGACTTTCCCTTTGCTGTGAAAGGGGAAAATAGCTCTCTACTGTAAAAATCTTTGTAACACCTGCAGCAAGTAGCTTTTGTGACAAGCTCTCAAAGAAAAATCTCTGCAGTGGCGTGAACACCCCTGAGATTACGAGGCTTGAAATCTTCTTGTAAAATGACCTCTCTTGGACACACCTGTGCCCAGACACCTCACAGCTGTAAGGCAATGACAAGGAGTGTGAGAAGAATATCTATTCATGCCTGTGCTCCTTTGCCCCTCACTGTATTGTGGATTTGGCTTGCACAAGACCTTTGGACAACAAGGTATTGAGATGCTTCCTTCTTTTACAGAGTAACCTCAAAGCTATTAGACCCCTCTACTGAGAAAGCTGGTAGGACCACCAGCTTCTCCCAGTTCACCAATGCAAAGAGCTCACAGATTACATGGGTACTTCAAAACACTTGTTTTTCCTCAGCTAGTGCCAAGACGCAGCTATTTCTGTGCCTGCTCCACATGTGACTCTCCACCATTCGCTGTTCATTAGTGGTTGACCTCTGGCTAATTTTTCCATTGTTTTTCCATTCAGAGGAACAGAATTCAGATAATCTGTAGGCTGAAATAATAACAATTGTAACCATAAAAGTAGGTAATTGTATCTTGACTCTAATGTCCCTTATCACTGGGTTTATCTCACAGACAGCATGTTTGCAGAGACCATGACCACTGCCCGTCTCAGCACTGCCCGTCTCAGCACTTGCCTTCCGCAGAGCAGCCATGATTCAGCCAACTTCAATAACAATGAACTGGAGAATAACCAAGTGGTGGCCAAAATTGCAAACCTAAACCTAAGTCGGGTACCAGGACTTGTGACAGACAACCACATCATCCCCTGTTGCCCAAACCGACGTCAGCATGCCCAGGGGGTCCCAGCCTTCCTGGACACAGACCTGCGGTTCCACCCGACCCGCGGACCTGACATCACCTTTTCTCAGGACCGGATGGTTGCATGCACCAACTGGCAAGAAAGCAATAGGACTTTGGTGTTTTCTGACCGGCCTTTGCACATTGGTGAAAGCCTCTTTGTGGAAGTAGGACATCTTGGGTTGCCATACTATGGGGCCCTTTCATTTGGCGTCACTTCTTGTGATCCGAGTACTTTACGGACAAATGAGCTCCCGGCAGATCCGGACTTCCTCTTGGACCGCAAGGAGTATTGGGTGGTTTACCGAGCGTTCCCGGTCCTCAACAGCGGCGACATTCTCAGTTTCATGGTCTTGCCGAACGGAGAGGTGCACCACGGGGTGAACGGAGCCAGCCGAGGAATGCTAATGTGCGTGGACACCTCACAGTCTCTCTGGGTGTTTTTTACAATCCATGGTGTAATCAACCAGCTCAAAATACTGGGTAAGTGCAGCCAAAAGAAATGGTAACGGGGAGGACCCGGCCGATGACGTTCCCTGGGACAGAAGGGGAGCTACGGGTTTGCATTCACAGCGTTGCCTTTAGCAGGTGGCCACTGCCGTGAGTAGGCAGGTCCTGATCTCACCTTGTGTTTGCAAACAAGACTGAGTGAGACATGGTAGCTGTCACATAGATGTATGCAGCCTGTATCAGTCCCCCAGAACATGATGAGACTTGAGAGATAAAATAAGCAGCAGGTAGAGCAGCAGGTATGGCTGGAGGGGGGGGGCGGTGAGTGGGACAGCTGGCTTTTAGAAGGTTCGTTTTTAAAAAGGATTCTTTATAAACCCACTATTCCAGCCATCAGGTATTAAACTCCTGCCTTGGTAAGGGCGATAATTTCTGTGAGCACAGCTCTGGTTTAAGCACTGATGGGCAGCAATCACTCCCCAAGCACTGCCACAGCTCGGGTATCAGATGTCACTGCTGATTTGGTGACTGGTTACAGTGCTTCTCCTTGCCTCTTGTTAAGGATTCTGTCAGAAAAGCTGATGTTGATGACTTTGTAAAGCACGTTTTTCTCATTTAAACCAACGCCCTTTCCCAGCTGCCCCTGACCTGACAGCGAGACAGTGATAGCTTGAGGCTGCTGCTGGAGAGATCGGGACCACGGGGAAGTGACTTTACACCCCAAATGATGGCTGTCAGATAACCTGATGCTCACTTCACGGAAGCACTGACTAGAAATTGTACAACGGCATAGCAAAGTCCGGGCCCTGCAGGTCGCATCCAAAACCACGCACCTGCATTGCTCCTAAGGGGCAGCACTTAACCCAGCAGCTGGACTTTCTCCTAAAGCACCCTGCGCACATGGGGTGGGAGCAACTCACGGGGCTGAGGGGCATTTAGCTGGGGTCTGGGTGTGCACTGGCCCCGCGGCGGGCTCAGCTCTCTCCTGTGTTTGCAGGCACTGTGCAGTCCAGCCCAGTGACCGTCTCTCCCTCAGGATCCCCCGGCGGCTCGCAGTATGACAGCGACTCGGACATGGCCTTCAGCGTCAACAGGTCGTCGTCTGCTTCAGAGTCATCGCTCGGTAAGG